CATCCCTAATCTGAAAATCTGAAATCTGAGATGCTCCAAAATCTGAAAGTTTTTAGGTGTCAGCATGATACCACAAAAGAAAAATTCCATGCCTGACTCATGTGATGGGTCTCAGGCAAAACTGACCCTTCCAAGTCGGACAGCGATAAAGAGTTGAAAATTGACATCATCCCCAACCCTCAGGAACGCACTCTGACTTTCGTGGACATAGGCATTGGCATGACCAAGGCTGATCTCATGAATAATTTGGGAACCATTGCCAAGTCTGGTACTAAAGCATTTATGGAGGCTCTACAGGCTGGTGCAGACATCTCCATGATTGGGCAGTTTGGTGTCGACTTTTATTCTGCCTACCTGGTGGCAGAGAAAGTGGTTGTGATCACAAAGCACAACGATGATGATCAGTATGCCTGGGAATCTTCTGCTGGGGGTTCCTTCACCAGGAACGTGCTGATCATGGTGAGCCCATTGGCAGGGGTACCAAAGTGATCCTTCACCAATGACTGGGAAGACCACTTGGCAGTCAAGCACTTCTCTGTAGAAGGTCAGTTGGAATTCAGGGCATTGCTAATCATCCCTCGTCGGGCTCCCTTTGACCTTGTCAGAATCCCAGGTTTCGGCACCAAAGACGTCAGGGTAGAAGACTGCCCTTGGTTGTTGGCGTGTGCTCTTGACTGAAGAACGACCACACACATCAAAGTGTCAAGTCCAGACTATTATCCTGGTCCCCTGACTCCTTTCTTGGAAAAATCACCAGCAGGGCCAATACAAGGGAGTAATCTCGGGCAAAGAGTTTAGCCAACATTAGCCATAAAGTTTCAGTGATGCAAAAATGAATAAGTCCTGGAGATTTGCTTTATAGTATAGTGTCTATAGTCAATTTTGTACTATATACCTAAAAATTTGCTAAGAGGGTAGATCTTATGTTAAACGTTCTTATCACAAAAAAGTAATAATAAATACAGAGGCTGGAGGAAACTTCTGGAAATGTTTATGGCACAGACTGTGGTGATGGTTTCATGGGTGTGTATTTATCCACAAACTCAACAAGTAGTATATATTGCATGTATGCAGTTTTTTACATTTCAGCCATACTTCAATAAAATGGTTTAAGAAATCTGAGCAGATTCAGGCAACTACAACAGTGAGATATGAAGTGTATCAGATATAATTTGTTAAAATGAAAATTTTAAATGTCAAAATATGTAGATACTTTTCATATTTTACAACTAAAGGTGGTCCAAGGTTGTTTCTTTAAATAATGTCACATTCATTCTCTTGCATTCAAACATGATTTCTAAAGGGGTCAGTAAAAGGGTAAAATTTGTAATATTTCTTGCCACATAGCAATCTGTCTGAAATATCATCCTCTGTTATAGTTCACTCAGCATTTTTTAGTTTAGCCTTCTTTTTGCCTAAAAACACAATGTAAAAATGTGCTGATGCAACTTCTGAATATTTCATGCAAAAATATCTAAATATTGGTAGGATAGAAAGAGAAACTCTAAGAACCTTGTATTTCTCATTACCTTTACTAGATGAATGATGTTTCAAAAAAATACATGGTTTTTAATCGATTTTTAAATATAAGAATATTTACATGAAAACACAGCAAGTTTGTTCTCAAAAAAGATTAATTAACTTCTGTTTAAAAAATCTACATCTCGGCTGGGTGCAGTGGCTCATGCCTGTAATCGTAGCACTCTGGGAGGCCAAGGCGGGAGGATCCCTCGAGGTCAGGAGTTCGAGACCAGCCTGAACAAGAGCGAGACCCCGTCTCTACTAAAAATAGAAAGAAATTAGTTGGACAACTAAAAATATATAGAGAAAAAATTAGCCAGGCATGGTGGCA